ACCTCCAGATGCAGGAAGAGGGCCACCTGCATCATGAAGGACCACACCCACCCAGCACACACACTTTTTGTCCCGCTCCCCTCAGGAAGGAGGTTGAGGAGCATTAAGTGTAGAACCACTAGACTGAGGAACAGCTTCTACCCTGAGGCTGTTAGACTCATGAATCTCTAACCAGAAGAATCCCTGTGAAAAATCACTGTAATTCCACTTTGACTGGTGATGTCACTTTATCTGTGCTGCTGATTGTCCATGCTGCTGATTTCTTGCCTTTAAGCTGCTGTATTGCTGCTCACAGCAGGCTCATGTTCAGGCTGCTGTTTAATATACTATGTTATTTTACATTATTATTATTTAGCATATATCTTAGTATCTTAGATCCTTGTATACTGTTTCTTTTTATACTTTATATTTTTGCTATTGTTGGGCTTGGGTACACAATTCCGTTCCACCTCGTGTACCACGTAATGCAAATGACAATAAAGAACCTTGAACCTTGAACCTTCAGCACATTTATGAAACATCCATTATTTTAAGCAACTGATTTGTCAGTTTTAGCATTTAGCCTTAGCTGGTCATAGCTTGTACTTCTTTGACAATTTTAGCTTTTAGCTACTGTTTTTCTATGTTTGGCTTTTAGATACTGTTTAGATTCAACTACTGTTTAGTTAGTTTAAACATTTATTTTTGCTTTAACAACTCAGTTTCAGCTTCTTCAACAAATTTCAGCAGTTTACAGCTTTTTTTGTGCATTTTTACAGAAAATTAAGGATGTTTTTCTGCATGGTGTGTTTGTTTTCAATTTGCTCTCATTTCAGCTCTTTCAGAATCAACATGTAAAGGAGGAGCTTTACATTTTATTTTTACTTTCTAGTGTGGGCTGAGGGAATGGGCTCTAAAAATAAAGCGTATGTTCCTCCAGGTCTGCAGAAGCTGGGGCCCCAAGCGTATTGTTTTGGGATATGGGGGAGGACAGGGAAGATCTGGCCTGGAGAGAGATTCTGCAGAGACGGAAAGCAGCTGCTGCACTTTCGACAGGAATACTTTGAAAGTGTTGGCAAATTGATTTGTGCAAGTCCCATAGCAGAAAACTGCAAGAACTTTTGAAATACATTCAGCACACGCACGTTCTTTCATCCTGGAACTTTGTAGGTTGATTGTGTGGAAGCGAGTTGGTGAGATCTTTAGGTTTCTGATGCTAAATAGTCTCAGTGAAAAATGCATTTTCTGTTAAACTGTGCTGTGCATGCTGAGTGACGAACAAGCTTTCTAAAATTTTCTGCAAAAGCTGAAACTAAGTTTTTAAACTAAAAAAAATACAGAACAGAATTAAAATTAGCAAAATTGGATTTGAAACTTATAGTAGTGAAACTGTAGCTAATAGTGACAAATTAGCAAAACACTAGATTAAAAACTACAAAAGCTGTAGATAAAAGCTAAAAGAAACAAAACATTAGCTAACAGCTAAATGTAACAGAACCCTAAAACAAAAAGTAGCAGAACAGTTTCTAAAGCTAAATGAAGCACAGCAGCAGCTAAAAGCTAAAAAAAATAGCAATATAGTAGCAAGAATGAGCAGAACTGCGTATAACTAAAAACTGATTGTGCTGATTATCCATGAAAATGCTGGATCAGATTTAAACAAGAACGGTGTTTTATGTTCGGGTATGGAGGGAGTTCACCTGGAAAAATCTGGTACAGATTTATCACGCCTAAAGTCAAAAATAGGTATAAGGGTACAGATCCGACATGCTGGAGGAATTGTGGAACAGTGGACGCAGACCAGCGCTCACATATTTTGGAACTGCCCTGAAATACTTCAATTTTAGAAAACTGTGCACAAAACTGTAAATAAGATACTGAGATATGATGAGCAATACCAATACCAATACCAATACCAATTTATTTATAAAGCACTTTAAACAGTGACAAAGCACACCAAAGTGATGTACAGGGACAAACAGAACAAGCACATATAGCAACAGATTACATAACAGGACACCAAAAAGTAGAAACCGACAAAAACAATAATGGACAACAACAACAAAGCAGCACCGTACTATACCTTTGCAACTTTAACAATATCATAGAAAAAGTAAGAGTTAAGGATAGGTATCTGATCAAGATCATGTTAATAGCTAGCAAGAAAGCTATTGTGAGGAAATGGGGAATCATGGACGCCCCCCCCCCTCCCCCCCTGTCATGAACAATGGATTGGGATAGTAGAGGAAATCTATACAATGGAAAAATGGACATATTGGCTGAGACTACATCAAACTGAAATGGAAGAAATGGACACTATTCAAAGTCAGCGACAAAAAATAGAGAAAGAAGTCGACAAACTGGATAAGACAAAAGGACAATTAGCGCCCAAGCAAAAGTTATTTAAACTGTATTTTTTTATTTTATTTCTAAGTTTTTTTAGTGTTAAATGTGAATTATTAATGTTCATGTTATATGTAAATAAATGTGGAAAATGCCAATAAAAAGTTAAATGATAAAAAAGAACAGTATTTTCAAAAGACTGAACTGATCTCAGTGTGAGATCCACCCATCCACCCATCCATCCATCCATCCATCCACCCATCCACCCATCCATCCATCCATCCATCCA